TACATGGAAGTAATGACTCGTACTTAAGCAATGGCTGCTATTTTTTTTTTGGGGGGGGTTGCATTTACTTTGAAACAGCTCAAAACACTTAAAGATATCTCATTTTTAAAGTGATGTAGGCAAGCTCTTAGTCTTTTATTCTATCTCCATATTGGTGAAAATAGAGATGATTCACATTCTGCTGCCATTAATAACTATTTATCTTCATGTAAAATCTAGAGGTTTCCAAATTTAGACAAACCAAAATCCAAATAATGTTTTAACCAACTCCAGGCAGTTTTCTTTATCACAAATGATTTTTGCACTAGTTAGACCTTTCTAGCTCTATTTTTCTGTCTTTTGCTTTGGAGTTCTGCACAGATCTGTATTTTTCTGATTGTTTCCTAATAGACATAGAAAGAATATTACTGTCCATACACTTTAGAATAAAGTTGTAATTTAGAAACTAATGTTTTAAGAAATGCTTGGTTCATACTGTCAGTTTGTATTTCATGCCTTCTTCCCTTATTACTCAGGTTTCCTGATAAATAGGAAAATATATATGACTATATTTACGCAAACACAAGCAAAACCTATGCAGAACAATGTTAACAAAAATTTCCATCTTACATAGTACATTAATTAGTTTTTGATCCTTAACTCAGCTTCTAGAGCCAATATTAATTCATTTTACCTTCTTAAAACTTGCTTCAAAAATAGGAAATATATAAACCGGTTGTGATACAATAGTACATTAGAATCTTCTACCCCAAAGTTCCATTACATGAACTACAACTAATTTATTTAACAATTTTCAGCCATACAGAATCATACACATCTGTGGATTGATAATTTGTGATTTACGAGTCCTTGCAGCTGGGATGTAATTGTCATGATTTCCGCCACCATTATTCAGCCGTCTTCCCAAATTTTAAAGCTATCTGCATTATCTCTGGAATCTTGTCAGCATAGACTGAAATTAATGTCTCCTATCATTGGATGTGTTTTCTACACTACTCTTCCAGATTCTTTGTCCAGTTAATGGAAATAAATAGCTACCGAGAATACCTGGTTTATGATGGGACAAATCACTCTCTAGATTCATCTGCAATGGCCTGAAATTTCACATATGTCCATTACAACTCTTGAACTCTTGAAACAGGCTTCTGATTTGTTAAAATAGTATCCAAAGACCAGCAATATTTTGGTTTTTTTTAATTCAAGTTTTTATATGACTTTATTTACCAATCATATCACTAGCATAAAGAATGCCCCTCAAAGCCAAAAAAAAGGGTCACATTTTTCAGAATATAATATTTTACTGCGGCAGTTTTTCCTGTGGTGAAAAGTGCACACATTATTCTTCAGTACAACAGAGTACACTTTCCAATCCTTTCAAAACTTTCTTGGGGCAGAATAAAGTGTGATAGAATATGTGTGTTTCTGTTATTTTAAGAAATACTTTTACAGTTTATATGCATAATATTACCTTGGACTGATTCTTCATGACAATGATAGAAGAAACTATTTCATATGAAAAATAGGTAATAAGTTTATTTACAAATTATGATAGATAAATATTCTATTTAGTTCATTATATGAGGAAGTACTTTTTATATTTCTGTGTTCCTTGAACAGGCTGGATGGGAAGAGCTCCTACATCAAATTTCACCCATGTTTACACTTCTTTAGAAAGATTTTGTGCTGTACTAATATTTTTTCAGATTAACACTAGAAGAACCAAACTTGGATTATGTCAAAAAATGATGATTGTGTTGTGATGAAAAGTGCACTTAATACTTGGAAGAACAATTGTGGTTATTACCTGTGTAAAATAAGACTAGGGCTTGAGCAATTAACAGCCTTGTTTTTAAGATTTTTGAGTGTTTTAAGAGCTGTGATATGTAAGTTTATACTGCTGTAGCCTAGCAACCTCAACTATTTTTTAAAACAGTTTAAAATAACATTTCTTAACATCGTAATAAAACCCCACATAGCTTTCATTTTTTCCTCTTTTGTTCAGCTGTGAAGATTTTAAAAATTTAAACAACTAACAGAAATAATCAGTAGATTATTAGCTAAAGAAATAAGATGTGTTGTCTTAATTATCAGTAACCTCTTCAGTTTGCATAGAAAGCAGTAGAAGAAATTGAGAATCACGTTTGCTTCTAAAATCATTAATATTTTGTGTTTCACATTTTTAATAAACCTGCATAATTCAATTCCATTATATATTCAACTCCCAGACAGTAAGTCATTACTTACTTAGTGACAGCTTGTTCCTGAAACACTTCTAAGTCCTGCTCCATATTACTGATTGTTGTTTTAACCTGATGAAACAAACAAAAAAATCAAATAATTCAGATTCTTAAATGCATGCGTTTACGCAGCCAAGTAGAGCATGCTGGATAATTCTATGCTTTCCTTTAATTTTCTGTAATTTTCCCATTGCAAACAACAGGGCCAAGGGAATGTAGCTCTAATTACAGGCTGGAATGGGCAAGGCAAAAGCTTCTGGGGTAAGCCCAGCTCAGTGTCAGCAGCTCTCACACTTGGTGCAGCACTGACATACTAGAGGTGGTGCTAGCTTGAGGATAGCCCTGGATTTCCATGAGGAAGTTTGTTTTGGATCATTCCCTGTTGTATGATGCCAATGATTCGCCAAGACACTCTAAAACACATAAACCTAAATATGTCATAGATCCACGGCTGTGTTCATCAACCATTTCTCATATCTTCACACACTCTAATTAGCCTATATCCAGGCTATAATGGCTCTCAAACACAATTTTGGACTCCTATTGACTATTCACTCCCTTGCTCAGCAGATACGGTGCTGAGACGCACAACTGTCAAGTACCTCAGCAGAAAGATCAGAATAAGACTGTTCTAAGGACCTGGGACAAGCCTGGTTGCATGCAAGAACAGGAACCAGCCACATTACGGGTGACAGGGTGGGATGAAACAGCCCTAATTCTTTGTGGGGGTGAGCAGCGGAGCTCTCAAGGGCACGGGTACCAGTACGTACAGATGGACAGAGACCGCTACATGGCACTGCAGCCTTGGCTCTGTGGGGGCCAGGCACCTGAGGTGACACTGCCACAGGATCAGCAGCCTTGGCTCCACAGGGGCCAAGCACCCGAGGTGGCGCAGCCACACGATC